GGGGCCCTCTGGCGTTCCAAGCCAGTTCTTAACCAACGCGCCACTCAGCCAGCCCTAAACCATGTTTTAATATGTTGAATTTCTCATGAAAACAAGTCATTTGGAAAATAGATACACAAATTTAAAGTGACTCATAATTGCACACCCAAACACAACTACAGTTAGCATTTTGATGTGCAGTATTTACTCCCATTATTTTCTTTTAATTAGTGGTAGTTTTGATATATATTCAAATTTGTATTTTGCATTTTTTTGTATTCCATCAGGATTTATTTTGTGTTGCTGCCACATTTTTGTCTGACATTTTGTTGTTTAGATTGACAGCTATGTTATGGAAGAAATGAATAAGTTTTATGAAAAGAGACGCAATTTCTACCAGAACACTGTGGGTGATCTGCTAAAGTTCATCCGGAATTTAGGGGCACACATTGATGAAGACAAGAATAAATGGTAAGTATTGTTATCTTTTCCATAAGTCATATATGAAATGAGGATGACTGAAAACTCCAATTATAAATTTGTATCTGCTGTTTGATGGGAAGAACAAAATTTATTTTGATGACATAAAGGTAATTCCTCCGCTCTGTTTGGAAAAGGTCATCACCAGGGTCTTACAGTGAACAATGGATGTGCCCAGCTCTCACCTTCCTTTTTAGCTTTTGCTGTTTCACTAAACAGAAAGCTAGTCATCCCCTTGTGTTAAGAAACATGGACGCGCAGACCAGGCAGCTGGGTAAAGCGAATGGAACATTACAAAAGTCTAAAAAGTAGCCCCATGTTAGCTAAATGAGCTTTTGCTGCCAAAACGTTAGCTGCAAATTCATAAAAACCTTTCAGGTTCCAGCACTGTTTTAGATTTTGGAAATGTAGAGAAGGGGTTGTGGAATTGTATTATGCCCATTTTATGGGTGATAAAACTGAGGTTCCCAAAAATTACGTTGCCAAAGTTCACACAATTAGTTAGAGAGCCAGGAGATAACTCTTTCTCTGTCAGATTCTCAAGTCCTCATTCATTCTGCTTTAGAAATCCAGGGAGCAGGGCAATCCTGGGGCCATATGCTCTAAAGGGGGAGGGACTTGGGCAAGCGTGCCAACATATTTACATTTCATTTCAGGATGAAGTCCAGAATTGGAGACCCTTCTCAGTATCTGCAGGAGACATTCCCCGATCTGGTCATCTATGTCTATATGAAACTACAGAACTCAGAATACAGAAAGTATTTTCCCAAAACTCACCAAGAAGCCCTGGCATGATGGGGCCAGCAGTGGCTGGAAGGCTGGCCAGCTTTGAGTGCTGACCAAGCCTTCTGAGTTCACGGAGGCCCTTACTAGCTGTATAATCCTGAGCAAGTCAACAACTCTCTGGGCCTCTTAACTAACCTGGTTGCTTGTGTGGGATGAGTTAGATAGCCAATTGTCAGTTCCTGGCACAATGCCTGGCATGCCCCACATTTATAACAAATAAAGTGTATGCTCAAATTACCCTGGCCCTTTTTATGGGTAAAGAAAGCTTCGAGGCAGGAGCCGAGAGAGCATCCTGCTTAAGCTTACTTTTGTAAATTGCACCAAAGGGGTGAGTGCCTAGACAATGCTGTATGTTTTACATGAATTATTTCACATAATTCTCCCAGTGATCTTGCGAGATGGGTTAATATCCTTCTTTATGAACTAATGAACTTGAGACTCAGAGTTTGAACGACTTGCCCCAGATCATACAACTTGTACAGAGCACTGTGTAAATGGATGGGGGTGTTATTGCTACCTCTCACTTGGGCACATTAGGACTTAATTACTCTGGATGAGACCTAAAAGGAATATGTCAAAGGGGCTCCAGGTGGCCCTTGATTGATTGATTGATTCATTCATTCAATAGTTATTGAGCACTAGTATAAGTCTAAGCACTAACTGTATGAATTCCCGTCCTTCTATACCACCTGCACTGGTTTTCTATGACCTTAAGGCAGTAGCTCTCAACAGGGGGCAATTTTGCCTCTAAGAGGCCATTTAGCAGTGTCTGGAGAAGTTTTTGGCTGTCCAAGCTGGGGGGTAGAGGGTGTCATTGGCACATAGTAGGCAGAGGTCAGGGGTACTGCCAAACACTCTACAATGCACAGGACAGCCCCCCACAACACAGAATCACCCAGCCTGAAATATCAGTGGTACTGAGATTGAGAAACTCCTTCTTAAGGGGCTGGGGTCCTTTCAAACTGGTTGGGGCCCTGGACCACGGAGTGTGTTGGCCATCTCACAGAGGCGTAACTTGGATTTGGTTTTTGGCTTTTGGATCCATAGGGAGACAATGCCATTGTCACCTCCTCAGAACACCCTCACTTCCCACACCCCAGTCAGTGCTTTCTGCCTCCCTAGCACCCATACCCACATCACAGCGTGCTTCTCCCCACCTTTATCATGCTTCTCCCCCCGTGGGATCTAAGCTCCTTGGGGCCAATGATATATATATATATATATATATATATATATATATATATATATAGAGAGAGAGAGAGAGAGAGAGAGAGAGAGAGAAGAGTTTGATTTGCATCATTACTGCCTAGCACAGTGCCTGCCACACGGTAATGTTCAATAAATACGCATTGAAAAATGAATGAACTTCCTTCATACATGAGTAATAGCCCTACCTGACATTTTTATGGTGCTTTATAACTTATAATTATACCTGCATATTTTATCTCTTAGTTTTCTAAACAATCCTCTACGGTCAGTGTTGTTATCTTCGTTTTTCAGATGAGGAGACTAAGGTTAGAGACATGTTGACTTACTCTAATACACAGCCAAGAGGTGCCACAGTCTTGATTTGAACAGATTTTCTGGTGTTAAGCCTGATGTTCTTTTTACTCATCCTCATTGTGGTGGTAAAAACGGAGCTTTGTAATGGGGAGAGCTGGGAAAAACCAGTATCTTAGGTACTTCCCAAAGAGAAGGTGGTTTCAAATGGGTGTCACTGAATGAAATTAAGAAGTGCTGGGAACAAACTTAAGGCTTTTATTTAAAGTTTTAGGAGTGGCAAGCTTACATTGAGTTTTAAAATTAAGCCTTGGTTTTCTGATTTGTAATGAGTGCCTAGATATGTCAATCATTTATATCAACTGGAATCAGCTGGTTCAGAATTATTTCTGCACAGAGCTTTCCAGTCCACAGAGCTCTGGCTTTCTCTCATTGAACCATCCTTGTCATCATAATGCCAAGCTGGCTCCATCCTTTCTTATCTTCATCTTGTTTATTAGCTTTAAATAACTGACCCCATTACCCCATTTAGAATTACAAAGCTATTTATTAGAAGGTTTGAGTTCATATATAAAGGAGATAGCAATTCCACAAGGGTGTGTGGCATTACCACCCAGCCCACTTCAAGGAGACAGTTGTACTCCAGAGCTCTGAAGTCATGGGCATATGGGATATGTTTTTTCTCAGTACTGCACTTCTGTCCACTTCTGCTGTAGACCAGAAGTCACCTTCCCACCACCTGCTCCAAGCACATCCTCAACCCCATCATAGCTGATTCCGCATTCAGGAGGCCCTGGGGGGCAGGCCAGTGGCCTTGAAAGCAGCTTCCTTCTCCAACCCTAGAGTCACAGATCTGGCCTTCTTGGCTGAGTGGCATTCCCTGATGCCCCTTAGAGCAATACAGGAGACTGGTGAGTGGGAAATTCGTGACGATTCCCCCGCCTCAAAAAGTTGGCAGTATATACTGGTGTATCTTTTCTGCTGGCATGCATGGTAGCTAAGAGCCCCTTGAGGGCAGAGTTTATTTGCCATGGTCCTGGAACTGTGGTCTCAATTTTCTTCTCCACTCTGGCGATGCAAGGTAAGGAACCAAATCATGATCCCCCACGGTGAAGCTCTAGTAGCCCTAGGTAAGGATAGCACCTATTCTGCCCCTAGACCCAAGTCAGGTGTGTATTGCTCATTCCACAGATCTAACACAGACTCAAACATGTTTAGTGATTTGTCCAATGCCACCCAGCCAGTAGGGTCTTTCCACATTTCAGGTGGGATTCTTGGATATTATTCGATGAGAAGCGAATCAAAAGTAAAACAAGACTTGTAAGGTGTTAGGTTTTATTTTTTTTAAGTAAATAGGTGAGTCAAAAATAACCAGAATCAAAATAAACTTGAACTTGGAGACATAAACCAATTTTTAAATGAGTAATAAAATTTATAAGATTAATGTTGTCTTGTGAGAAATCTAAATTTTATTATAATTTATATTATTGGATAAATAATAATATGGAGTATCAGAAATAAAACAAAAGCGTACTCCCATTATGATAATAAAGTTCAAAATGTCTGTATTCCATCTTAGATGTTGTATACATGCCTAGGAGAGTATTGCATAATTGATACCCTGGTGTGTTATTCTATTCAGATGCTTTTTTACCTATTATATTACAAATGTAACATCATGTTGATTCACTGTAATTATTTTGAATGACTGTATAATGTTCTATCAAGTAAAGATATCAAAGACTGTTTAATCATTTCCATTTGGCTTATTTTTAGCTTGCTTCTTCTTAGTAATATGAATAACACTCCAATGAACTACTTTAAGCATGTAACTTCATCCTTTTAAGAATAAAAAAAAATAGAGTTGGTGCTTGAAATATGTGCTATATGTGTGTGTGTATATTTAATTTTAGTTCATTGCAGGAAAGTTAATTTTAGCAGAGAAGAAAATAAATGCCCCCTTGTAATCCCTACACTTAGAATAATTACCATTAATCTTCTGGTATTTTAAAGATGTACATTCATCACATAATTATCTTAACCATCATTAGGACTTCTATATACATATACTCTTAATAATAGTAAATAGAAAACTAGAAAAATAAGAACAAATTAAATCCACAGTAAGCAGAAAAAAATAAATAATAAAAACCAGAGTAGAAATCAATGAAATTGAAAACAGAAAGTCAATAGAGAAAATCAATGAAACCAAAAGCTTGTTCTTTGAAAAAATAATATCAATAAGCCTCTTGTCAGGCTAACTAAGAAAAATGGAAAGAACACAAATTACTAATATAATAAATGACATCACTACAGATCCCATGGACATAAATAGGATAATAAAGGAATACTACAAACAACTCCATGCCACAGACTTGATAACCTAGATAAAATGGACCAATTCCTTGAAAGATACAATTTGCCAATATTCACACAAGACAAAATAGACAGTAGGATAATAAAGGAATACTATGAACAACTCTGTGCCACAGATTTGATAACCTGGACAAAATAGACCAATTCCTTGAAAGACACAATTTGCCAGTGTTCACACCAAAGAAAATAGACAACTTTAATAGGCCTATATCTTTCTAGAGAAATTGAATCAATAATTAAAAACCTTTCAATACAGAGATCATCAGGTCCAGATGAGTTCACTGTTGAATTCTACCAATCATTTAAGGAATATGGTTTTCTTACCTGTTACATCTTTGTTTAATTTTGGCATAGGGTAATGCTGGCTTCATAGAATGAGTTAAGAAACATTCCCTCTGATTTTATCCTTTGAGATTAAAAAAAGAGATTGTGGAGAAATGGTATGCTTTCTCCCTTAAAGGTCTGGTAGAATTCAACAGTAAACCAATCTGGGCCTGATGATTTCTGGAAGGTACTAATTACTGGGAAAACCAGAAAGAGAGGAAAGGAACAAAAGAACTATTGGAAGGAATAATGACTTGGAGTTTCCCCAAACTAATGCTAGACACCAAACCACAGATCCAGGAAACTTAGCGAACACCAAGAAGAATAACTGCCACATCTTATTTAAACTGCAGAATATTACCTTAAAATGACTACTAAATGATATACCAGAACAATCACCCTGAAGAATCATCTGAAGTGTAGCTGAACTGGAGTTTTATAACTATGGACATAAAGAAGAAGTCACGTCAAGACTGGTAGGAGGTCAGAGACACAAAACGGGCTAGCCTCAAATCTCCATGAGGTGGTTGAGAATCGGAAGGGATATCTGGCCACAGAGGTTCCCCCATAGGAGCAGGTACCACAGCCACACACCAGTCTCCCCAGCCTGGAAGACTGGTGCTGGGAAGAGGAGCCCCCACAACTGGCTCTGAAAAACAGTGGGGATTCTGACCATCAAGATGGGACGGTAGGCTATGGGAATCCCAGGCATCCATTTAAACGGTCCGCACACAGACTGTTTCACTCTCAGGCACCTACCTTGGGCTCCAGCGATGGGACAGTAACTTGGGGGATGTTGGAGACATACAGGGGGCAGACTGAGGTGTGTGCCTATGAAGTGAGGGCTGGAGGACAGTTGCTATTTTCCCTGTGAGGAGTCTTCCTCTTGTGCAGCCGGCAGGCGGGTGCCATGTTTTCTGTGTTGAGCCCACCCCCCACTGGGCAAATCTGAATCTTATTGGTCTGGTGAGCTCTGCTTCCTCCACCCTGCTGACTCATGGGGACCCTGCCCCACGCTAGAGGCACTTTCTCTGTGAGCACCCAGCCCTGTTGCATTGCACTCTTTCTTGGAAAACTATCAGAGTCCATGGGCCCCAGGTGGGCAGTGACTGGCTTTGGTGTGTTCTGAGGCTTTTGCTGAGTAGCTCTAGGTTCAGCACTGGCACCAAACCAGAGTCTACATTAACCTGGTGACCACAACTCTTCCCACTCTAGTAACTCCCTGAGACCCTGCCTCACCCAAGGTGCATACCACAGGTGGATTTATCAGTGGCTGAACCTTAAGGCAGCTGGCAGGTGAAAGCATGTATCAGGGTGTCCTAGCTTTTTGCAGAGCTAACCCAGGCCGTTACTGGTGGCAGCTGTTCTCAGTTCATAGCGTGGCCTGTGCCACGTGCCTCACTTGAGCACAGGCAGTGAACAAAAGATCCCTTTGTAGCTTTTATCAGGTAGTCCCCAGCTGGTCACAGGCACTGGGTGGCCTGGGCCTGCACTGCAGTCCCTCCCAAGAGGCCCCAGAACCAACACACTTGGAGGTTAGCTTCAGACTACAGCAGAACACCACCCAATTAGCCCCACAAGTGGCACACACAAAGGGCACTCTCAACAGGCACCAGAGCTTGCTGGGGCAAATTCCACTCAGTGGGGTAGGCCCCCCACATTGCAGCCCATAAGCTATGTATGTGGCCAAACCCCACAGCCAGTCCATCTGTAGGCCAACACCTCCCACTAATGTGCCGATAGCAATCAAGGCTCAACTATAACAGGAGGGTGCACACAACACACACAATGGACACTCTTGGAGCAGGTGACCAGGGAGACTGTGCCAGGGCCTCACAGGGTGCCTACTACATAAGGCCACCTGGCTAAGACTGGGAGACATAGCAGCCCTACCTAATACATAGAAACAGACACAGAGAGGCAGCCAGAATGAGGAAACAAAGAAATACATCCAAAATAAAAGAACAGAAGAAAACTCTAGAAAAAGAACTAAAGAATATGGAAGCAAGCAACCTACCCGAGACAAAGTTCAAAACAATGATTATAATGATGCTCATCAGGGACAGATGTCTTTTCATACTTCTGCAGAAAGAGGGGAGATTTCATGTCACACCCTGACACATATGACTGAAAAGGCTCCTGCAGGTGGAAGGTAGATCTCTCTCAGTCTCTCTTGGTTTGTTGTCCTCTGCCTCTTTATGTCACTCTTTAGTCTGAACGGGTTGTACCAGCTTCCTAAAAAACCCAGAAAGTTCTTGAAGCGTCTAGAGTCATTGGAACATAAAAAAGTTTCATAAGGGGAATGTATGGTGCCAGTCACAGTTGTAATTGATCAATGATTTGATTTTCTGGTAAACAGCACTGTCTACTCTAATTGGCTGTAGAGTCAGCATAACTGACTGTATGGTCAGTGGTGGCATCAAATGCAAATTCTGTTTTCCCCAGCCCCTAGCATAGTTCATTTACTCATGCATTCAATGTGAATTTATGGGCAACTCTTATCTGCATGGCACTGTGGTTGGTGTTGGAGGTACAAGAAAAATAGGACATGAGCTCTGCCCTATAAGAGTATATAGTCTAGTAGGTGAGGCACATCCACAAACAGGCATCTCCACAGTGGCGGGGAGCGGGGGCGGGGTGGGGGCAGAATATGTGTTGCAGAAACAAAGAGGAGAGAGAGAGAGGAGAGAGAAGACAACTAGGAGGTGTCACCGTTGTGATGTCTCATCACCAGGTGCAGAAGAAAGGGAAGGGCATTTTAGACAATTGTGTTGCTAAACCCAGATTGGGGGCAAATTGTCAGTGGTCTTATACGTGTCACTAAGGAGTTGAGGCTTTTTCAATCAGACAAAAGAAGGCTGACAGCTGGCAAGGAAACCAGACCTCAGTGCTTTGACTGTAAGGACTGAATTCCACCACCAACCTGAATGAGAAGGAAACGAACCCACCCTAGAGACTCCTGAAAGGGTATGGTCCTGCCAACACCTTGACATTGGCCCGATACGTCCCAGGTCAGGCTTCGGACCTTCACAACTGTGAGATAGTCCTTTTGTGTTAGTTTTAGCCACTAAGTTTCTGGTAATTGTTTACAGTAGCAACAGAAAACTAATACAGGGACCAGAGTCGGCCAGCTTCCTTACTTGGCTCTTCTCCTTGGTCTTTTCCTTAGATGTCAGTGGCCCCTATGGGTCTATTGTTGAGACTTCTGTATTTTCTGCCTAAGATAGACCCAGGACCCAAATATAATTTCAAGGGGAAAGAAAAAGCTTAAAGCAAATTTGTAAGTTTTGATTGACCTGCATAGGATTCCAGAAATTTTCAATTTCTCATCCTTTTTTCTTTGTCCTTTCCCCCTTTTCCTCCCTCCCTCTTTCCTTTCTCCCCTCCTTTCTTCTTTTTCTTACTTTTTTATCCCCAAGTAAGCAGCTCTGGCCACCCGGGGTTGGCTGGCTGGCTGGAGCTAACTGTTGCTGTCCCCTCTGCAATGTGTCCTCAGGTTCACCAGCCTCTGCCAATCCCTCACGGGTTGCTTTTCTCATTCATATTACCTGCCTGCATTTTACAGGTGATTGATTTTGTGACACGAGCCTAAATCTGGTGTTGGAACATGCTAGATCTGGGATCTCTGAGGTGAAATGGTATAAAAAAACCAAAGGAAGTCAGCAAGACTCAATGAAAGAACAGAGCTTTTTTTCCTACTCAGTGATTGTCAGTGATGTGAGTGATTGTCCAAATGGGAGATCCTAGCATGGAGACCCCATCTGTCACTGCTGAGACAAAGAGCACCTTGCTTCCTAGTTTGCGTAATGCCATCTACCCACATTTCTCATAGGATTCTTCAACAACCTTGAGTCAGGGGTTCCCAAGGCCACACGTGGCTACAGGGTAGGACTGGAACCCAGATCTCCTGACATGTCCACTGTGGAAAGACCATGTCTGACAGGACCCCCAGGAGGAAGGAGAGCAGAGGTGCTCCCTTCATGCTCTCCACCCGCATCTTACCTACTGCGGTCCAGTCCTGCCGTGTCTGGGCTGTCACCCCACTGATCTTTCCAGGGCAGACGGCACCAGGGCATTTAATTTCTGACCAGAAGAGCTTCTGTCAGTGTTAAGAGGCTGCTGAGAGGTGATGTGCCTCTGTCGGGGGCCTGGCGAGATTACTTCTTCTCCCTTTTGGTGCCGGGTAATTTTTGTCTGAAGGAAGAGAGGAGTGGTGAGTTACCGCCATGTCGATGAGGGAACTGATGTTGTGCTCTCCGCTGGTTTGTTGCCGTCATTCACTTTAGGAATGACGACACCCCAAACCAAAACCCTTTGCCTTCAAGATAGGGCCCTTTCCGCTCTTATTCTCATCTTCTTCCCCAAAAGCTTGTTATCTTCTGAAGCTATGCGTTGCCTTTCCCTACACGGAGCTCCAAAGTACCTGGCTTGTCTTCCAGGCATCAGCACTGGCCAATGATACCTGGAAAGCTCCCAAATCCTTGGACTTGCAGCAGGTCTGAGAAGGTGGGATGGCTGGTGAGGAAACCAGGCCCGCCATTCACAGAGCTCGCTGTCTATGACCTTGACCTCAGCTCTTCAGCTCTGCTCAGCTGTACTTTCCATGACTCCCAAGGGATTCTCCCAGAGCCCCAACTTAGCACCAGTCCTACTTCGATGCTTGTACAGAAGTGAGTTAGGCTGAATCAGGTCTTGACAGCCTTAAATCCTGTCTGTTCTTATGGCCAAGCAGAAGGACACCTCTTCTTTTTCCTCCCATCTTATGCATCTGACCCAGAAGGCTGGAGGATGAGGGAAGCCAGCAATGAAAGACCATCTGAGACGCTCTTCCCCCAGCAAGGGTATTCTACTAGAAAGTGGGTAAGGGGGCTTCCGCTTCCTCAAAATGCCTGTCCTAATGGAGGTGGGTGAGGACACTCCCAGGATAAACACCCCAACTACAGGCTTCTCTGGAAGCAGCAAGCTCAACTTCTTGGGTTTAGATGCCAAGGAGTGTCAGGAGGGGGAGCTAGGTCTCCAGGAAGTTTCTCCCCATGTCTCCCGTGGTATACTTGGATGAAGAAGAAACTTCCAGCTTGTGCCTACCCCGGGACAGAACACAGCTGCACGGCGGAGAGGGAATGTTTTAGCTGCGTCAGGTTGCTCGATGAAGCTAAAGACAAATACAGAGAAAAACCCCATCAGAACTCAGGGCACAGACACTCACTGGAGGACCTCCAGCCCTGGGAGGCCCATCCCAGGACAGCTTCCAGGGAAGGAGCTGGGAAAGTGAAGGTCAAACTGTGACATTCCAGGGAGAGTCAAGAGACCCAGTTTATATGCTGCCGTTTTTGTCCTAGGAGACATTTCGTCTGGATGCAAAGGTCATGCCACCAACATCATTGACCCAGGGAAGTAAAATAAGGAGATTAGGCCAGATGAACACTGGAATCACCAGACTTTAGGGCTGTTTGGACACTATGGATCATGGGAAATGTTCCATAATGGCCTCCCCATTAAAAAATGAGGGGACACATGCAAATAGGCAGGCCCGTCAAGCTGGCATTTCAGAGAAGCAGTATCGCCAACATGGAAATAGAAGCTGACAATGGGACAGAAAGGAAAGGCTTGTTGGGCGCGACCAGGAGGAAAGAAGGCAGCTTTAGTGTTTGGGAATGGGATTGACTCTTAGAGGCTGAAGACAGGGAAGCAAAAGGATATAACTTGTCCCCAACACGGTAGGCGAGCACCAGAGTGTTTATTACAGGCGTAAGAGCAGGAACAGGAACCTCCAGGAAGCAGGAGAGATGGGACGGAGGTCCTGTTCAAGCCAGCAGGTGCCCTCAGGGCGAGGGGAAAAAAAGTAACAACTGGGGGGTTACGCTCATCTCTTAATAAAGGTCACACACCACACCTGGAAATGGGCAGAGGAGGCAGCAGAAACACCGAGAAGTTTAAGGTCCCCACCTTCAAGGGGCTGGAAGAGAATCAAGAAGATACGATGATTCTAATGAGAGCTGCGCACCGACCCCTGCGAGGACAGTCAGGAGACCGCTTTCCACCCCATCCCTGCCACTCACAAGCTGTGTGATCTTGAGCAAGTCAGTCCATATTTGGGGGATCTCAGTCTCCTCCTTGTCAATAGGGAGATTGGCTAAGCTGGCTTTAGGGTCACCCTAAAACTCTAATTCAGCAGTGGACTTTTGATATCAGCGGGGTTCCTAACTCCAACTCACAATTTTGGCCTGGACTTGCTATGACATCCTGCTGCTGAGGCTGCACCCATTCCATACCTTTGAGCAAGGTGAACCTTAAGATGGTGTGGTCTCCTGGGGAAGAAAGAAGGGGGAGCATTAAAAACCCTTACAGCAATACGCAACAAAACACATCTTTCTGAGTAAGCAAAGAAGGCTCCTGTTTAACACGCCTTGGATTACAGGATGTTAATGATAGAACATTGCCTAAATCCAAACCTCTGTATGTGAGATCAGGGGTCTGAGGCTGCAGAAGGAGACGCAAGAGGCTCAAGGTCCCTCAGGTCCTACACGATGACTCCCCAGGCCTAGAACCCAAGTGGCCTGGCCTCTTAATTCAGAGCATCTTGCTGCCCTTTGGCAACTTCTGAGACCAGAAAAGATTTGAGGGATTTACCTCCCTGGAGCTCAGTACAGGAAATGAGCCAAAGGCTGAGGCTTCTTGAGCTAACCCTAGGGGCATTTTCTTGCTCCTCGGAGCAAGTCGCATTGCCGGCCCTGACTGCCCACCTCCCTCTCTTTTTCCTCTTACTGCTCCCCTCCTCTCCCCCTACTCTACCCGCCCCCCCTCCCCTCCTAAATAAGCCCTTGCACTCATGGCTCACATACTGTGAAGACTGCTGATTTCGGTCTGCTGATGTGACATTTCACAAGGCAGAGACAAGGATAATAAGCCATGTTCCTTGACCATCGGGGTGGCTGCAGCCAGGGAGGTGGGTGAGTTGTTTCCTACTGAGGTGAGGACTCTCTCAGAGGGGCAGGAGCCGGGCTGTACAGCCAGAGATGGATTTTAGGTCTCCAGGGCCCTCATTTGTGCTCCAAGAAGAGGGTGGCATCCTTGCTTGTGAGGGATGCGGGGGGAGCCGGGGTGACCATCTGGGGGAATGGACATGAGGACCCGGCTGGTATGAGCTAAAACAACACAATGCTCAGCAGCATCATGGGACAGCGAGCTGCTGTTTTAAAGACTCCTGTCCTATCTCTATGCTTTGTTCTGATGCCGGTACTGTTTCCAGGTTCACAGACCTGTGCTCTTTGGTTTCCAGAACTTTCCACTGCAGAGACACCTAGCCTTACCCTCACCAGACACTGGCCCCTGCACTCTCCTGCCTCTCTTTAAAATTCCCTTTCGCAGCATAAAAAAAAAAGAAAGAAAGAAAATAAAATACATAAATAAATAAATAAAAAGAAATAAATAAAAAATAAAATTCCCTTTCACTCAAGTATTGATCTCAGTGCAGGTATTGGGAAAGGGCCTGGGTTTAACTGCTCCGTGCTAAGGAGACACATATATATGTGTTCTCAAACACATTTATTCATTTATGAACATATTAACATATATTAATAATGTATGATTAATCAATAAATTTAATGTAAATGTAATATAAATGTCTCAAAACCAACCACACAGAGATAATCCTATTAACACTTTATTTCTAAGCTTATCCCAGGCTTTCATTAAAAAAAAAAAAATATATATATATATATATTTATTTACTGCATTAAAATCATACTCGACATTCACTTTTTCATTCTCTCCCTTAACACTATAACACAGATGGTTTTCAAACGGTAGGGAAAGAGTTGGAGCAGAACCTCCTTACGCAGTAAAGCAGATCACCACCTCCACGTCCCCACCATGGAGACGATGACCCGCATATCCAGAGGCATCCTGGGAGGCACTGCTGGGGAGCCGCCCATGGGTGGGGCACCCTCTTGCCAGCACTGATAGCCACAGATAAAATATATCTAATGCTTCTCTGAGGCCAAGTTGATGAGATGCCCATCCCTCCAGCAAACACCCTCTGTGCAGTCCTACAGTGGGCGCTTCAGGCCCTCGCTTTCCCTTCCTGAGTCTCGTTTGCTAGAGAATGGGGCGGTGGGCTCATGGTGGAGCTTACCTCCATTCCAAGGAGGGTGCTTGTTTACAAGTACAGGTTTAGGAGGAGTTTTTCTGTCCTTGAACGTCTCGCCCCTGTACTGGAAGTAAGAGTGGGTTGTCTTCCAGGAGCAAAACCTGTGAGAAGAACGGCTTTTGGTCACAGGGAGAAACCACCCGCTGAGGGGGCTGAAACACAGAGCACAGGGAAGTGGGGTCGGGACTAATCCTCATAGAGAGTGGGGTGTCCAACAGAGGAGAGGAGAGCAGCTGGCCTCAGAGTGCCGCCTGTCAGAAGTCCTTCTGAGGCTTCCTCTTCATCCAGGCACGGCTCCAGTGAGGGCCTGGTGTGGGCAGCACATTGGGACTTCCTTCTGGAATCACCAGTGAATGCAGTCTGTGAAGAATCTGCCGTACCCCACCCTGGGGTACTTGCTTGGGCATCAGACTCTGAGCTCCCCATCTAACCCCACTTGGTGCAGCCAGAGTGTCTGACGGGCCCCCCTCAGGTCCCTCCCCGATCTGGTTTCCACCCTGTCCCTTACTGAGGCCTTGACCCCCACACCTCATCCCCATTGGCCGTTTCCCTGGAGCAGGCTTAGCTCCTCACATGAACTCAGACTCACTGCAGCCTGAGCACCGTTGCTCCCTAGAAGCCCTCACAACACTCTCCATCTCTTCCCCGCTAGCCCCTAACCCCTTGCTCCCTTAGCCTGCCCTTGGCTTGGACTCCTTGGAGGCTGGTCTTGGCGAAGACCGCATTTATTTTCCATCCAGCCTTGGCTCTGGTGGTCTTGACTGCTACTTTCCTTCATCTTACCCCAGGGGCGTTCAGTTGGATCACAGCTGGTTTCTCCTATTCTACTCACTGACCTGGGCCCCCCTCCCTTCACGGACCTAGCAATATGCCATGGATTCATTCTTCATGATGCTTAAGAGACCAGGAAACCTGGTATCTAATCCTGGTTTTACCACTTACAAAGTGGTACCACTTACCTAGGCAAGTCCCTTAACCACTCTGAACCTGAGTTTCTTCATCTACAAAATAGGGATAATAATAGTTTGCACCACCCACCTCATAGGGTTGTTGAGAGGTTCACTTATGGTCAGAGATGTGGACACCGTTTGCACAATATAAAGCTATTTATAAATATATAGGAAAGCAAGTAAAGAACCAGCTGATTCTAATCAGGATTAGACTCCAAAGCCTCCGTGAAGCAGCCCTATACTTCTAAACAGGGATGAGACAGAGCTGAGCGCCAATCAAGCCAGGAGCAGCACATACGTATTTACCAGGGGTTTCTGGTCCTCCAGAAAGTTTCGTGATGAATTTCTATTTAGTTCTGGTTCGCAGAACTAGAATCACATCTAGAATTAAGTGCTAGATAACAATGGGTGTTCAAAAAGCTCAATTGGTTATCTTGAACTTAGATTAAAAAAAAATTTTCTTTCAATCTTGTGTTAAATAATTTATTACCTTAGGGATTTAAAAATAATGGTTGGTGATTGGTGATTACATTTCTATTTTAATAAAGTAAGATTTTTTTTGTGTGTGTGTGGGAGAGGGAAACCGCTAAGAGCTGGAGTCACAGTAATAACCTAAACACCCCAATTAGCCTGGTCTGGGACCATTTCAGGCAGTTGTCCTGTGGTCACCATCACCCAGCACCCTGCCAGTCACCGTGTGGAGGGTCTGAGCCGGAGCCACAGTGGACCGCAGGCGTGAATAGCCCGCTGGGAGGACCTAGGCCAGTCTAGCCCCAACCCTGACAGGACAGGTTAGGAACCAGTGGGCACCGCTGAATTTATCCTGCAGATATTTTGTTTCATTTTTGGTTTCTGGCCTTGACAGTTTCCTCACCACGTTTCAGTTTTGAGTTAGTTGCCACATTTGCTACTTTAACCTTGGGAGATATGGCATAAACGTCTGAATTTCTAGCTCCTCTTGAAAATAAAAATATCTAGCCATTGTGCCCCTACTGGTAATTATGGGATTTGGACATAACACGGTGAAACTCCGCTGGCTTACTGCTCCCACGAGGCTCCTTAAGCACGAGCACCGCTGTGCAAGCTTTGACAGACTTTCTCCCAAAAGGCTGTGGTCCACCATGACCCTTAGGTGAGGAACCTACGAAAACCTAACTAACACCTTTGATCCCAGCAAACCCGGGTGAGAGAGAGAGGTGGGAGCCAGGCACTCTGATCCCCAGTCTTATGTGGTCTTCCGCCCTCTGGTTCAGTGTTCAGTAGGGGAGTGTGAGGATGGAGTACAGCAAGTAGGAGAACAATACACCATGAAACTGGAAGCAGTGACACAGAGGGCTACGGGGGGACAGAAAACTCTCTACAAAAGTCCAGTGTGTTTTTCTGACCTCACGGTCCTCAGGGGAGGGGGTATAGTTACCTTTTCCAGAAGTACATGACGACAGGGAAGAGTGACATGATAGCCCCATGGAAGAGGCTCCGATCTAGGTGGCCCTCTGTAATGGCAGCAAGGATGGCATCCTTGTGGGACTCCGAGATGTTCACCTACCCACAGAGTGGGAGCCCATCATTGGCAGAGGCTCCAGGGAAGGCCGAAAACCTCTTGGGCCCCCAGGACTTTTAAAACCACCCCCTCCCCAGAAGGCAGAAGCTTTTTTCGGGGGGCTGCTAGGTACAGGACACCTGGCTGACCCAGGACTGAGGAGGTGCCTGGCAATTAGCTTTCAGGGTTCTTGTGGGGGACATGCTTCTTGGCATAAGGCCGGAGCGGAGTGGCAGTCGCCCTTACCCTTAGCTTCGGCGGGATCTCCGAGTTGAGGTAGAGCTTCAGGATGATGTTGATTTTGGACTTCATAAGGACCACATCATTCTCGTTGTAGGCCCGGTTGGCTTGCAGCACGTGGGCTGAGCTCACCAAATTGTTAAATCTAAAAAGAGGCAGTGAGTAGGGAGTCAGCAAAGAGGAAAGCAGTGGCTAAACAGAGCAGCCAGCCCAGACCTATTTGTGGCTTAGAAAAAAAAAGACAGGGCCCAATCCTGGGCCAGGTTGTGACTTCGTCCGGTCAGTCATCATTCATCTACTGGCAAATACTAATTGAGCGCCTAGCCCATGTCAGATACTATGCTAAGTGCGTGTCCAGGTGTGTTTCTTCTCCACAAACTCCCTGATTTACCCCATCCTACGTTCCTTACCCATCCTGGCCCCTGCACCAGTTTCGCCTCTGATGGTTTCAAGGGCTAAGGGCTGTCTTGTTCTTTCTTTCCCCTCCTGTGCTGACCTGCTCACAGTTACCACCACCCTACGAAGCAGCATATTCCTTTTCTTAATTTAGTTTCACTGTAGTAAAATAGGCACGACATAAAATTTACCAGTTTAACCCTTTTTAAGTGTGTACTTCAGCAGCCTTAAGTGCCTCCACACTGTTGTGTGACTATCACCAACATTCATCTCCAGACCTTTTTTCATCTTCCCAAACCAAAACTCCGTGAAACACTAACCCCCACTCTCCACTTCCCCCAGCCCCTGGCAACCTCCATTCTACATTCTGTCTCCTAGCAATACATTCTTTTTACTAACCATCAAATATCTGTCAGCCATACCTTATCTTGATTTATGTACACAGTTCACTTCTCTCAGGCCATTCTAAATGTTACCCATTTAAAGCAGCGGTTCTCAACCTGTGGGTCACGACCCCTTTGGGGGTCGA